AAAGGAGTGAGGTCCATAGTAGACAGTCTAAGGTTAAAATTTTGGGGGTTTGGGGAAAAAACCACAGAGTCAGGTAGAGTATTGCAGACATTGACCACTCTGTTGCTGAAGTCTTATTTCCTGCAATCAAGTTTGGTGCGGTTTACCTTGAGTTTGTATCTATTGTGTGCTCTTGTATTGTTATGGTTGAAGCTGAAGTAGTCATTGACAGGTAGGACATTGCAATGTATGGTTTTATATACTATACTTAGATCGGACCGAAGGTTTTCTAGGTCTAGAATTTCGAGTCTGGTGGCATTCTGCAACGATAGAGGAGGGGATCATCCTTCTCTTCAATAATAACATTTATCAGCATTAGTTAAAAAAAAAGTATGTGCATGAAAAAAAATAAAACAGGGAAAATAAACGAGGAGGCATCTGCGTCCTTAAGGAAAATCAAATCTCAAAGGAGACACTCCAGAGACACTTCCAAATGGGTTTGGACTACAATCCCCATAATAACTCCAATAGCTGGCTGCGGGGTGTGTGTATGGGGTGAAGGTTTGTGGATGATGGGGAACGGCAGCCCAGAAACCTCTGGCCCCTCCCGGGCAGGAGCATTGATAGATGGCTCTCTTGCCAAACTCCCACGATCCAATTATGGCTGGCGCGCACATGAATATAACATGGATTTTTAGGCACATCAGCGCTCCCCCCCCCCAACATCTACGAGGGGCAGCTTGGCTGGGTTTCCACCTACCCTGTGTTGTATCGCTCTGAATTTACGACAGCCCTCCTCCTTCTCTTGCCTCAAGTAAGACTTAGGCGGGGGCGGGGAGGGGGGAAGGTCTTTTCTCAGCAGCGAATCTAATAAAGGCGCCTTTTGGGGAGGGGAGAGAGAGAGAGACAGAGAGAGAGGGAGGGAGGGAGGAGCCTAGACTTTCGGCGAATACTGCATTTCTATTCCAGTTGGGACCTCCCTTGCCGCTGATCACCATTTTTAAAAAGCCAAGAAATCCGGCTTGTTCGCCTCCGAGGGGTGGGGGTGGGAAAATAATAATAAAAAATAAATAAACCAGCCGCCAAGTCCCCGCAGGGATTCGCAAGGGAAGGCCTCCCACTTGGAGAAGTCCCGCGCCGGTCGCGTTCCTGGCTTTTGAGCAGCGGCCAGATGGCCTTGCTCTTTGGAGCCCCCCCCCCCCCCACACACACACCTCAAAGAGGCTGGTGCGAGGCTGGCGTCGCCTTGGGCTCCACTTCCCGGGCACATTTTTTTGTGTGGGTGGCTGCCGTTGAATCCATCGGAAAAGCAAAAGCAGCTCGCTTGGCTTGGCTTGGCCGTTTGATGGATCGATCAAAAAGTAAAGGGATGGGCGGCTCTTACGCCTAGCACACCTGGCTACTAAAGCGGGCGCCTGGAGGTTCCTACCCAACAAACATCGTCAGGATAGAAACGATACCCACAAAAAAGGCCCTTAAATAAAGCCCCCCCCTCGCCTTGTCATCATCATCAATTATTATTATTATATACTTTATTCATTAAACATGTCAACTGAACATTCAAAAATGCATCACAAATACCACTGAGTGGTGCTAATGGTTGATACGAGTTGCTGCCAGCATCCTAGGCACCAACCAAGTACCTTCTTAAGATGTACTGTGTTCCTCCTTCTTCTTCTTCTTCTTCTTCTTCTTCTTCTTCTTCTTCTTCTTCT